AGGGAGCAATTGGGTGTGGCACGAAGCCGCGGGGGACAGCGGGGACCGTGCCTGCTGCGGAAGGGCTGCGTCCCAGGCTCCCGGTCCCTGCCTCCCGGCTGCCCGCTCGTGAGGGCGGGTGTCCCCTTCACGGTGGAAGCGGTAAACAGGGGGTTAAATAGCCCCTTTCGCACATACACCTAGATATGTGAAATATATGTATTTGGAAACAAATATATATGTGTCTGTGTATATATATATATATATATACACACACACGTATCTCGCCCTGCGCCCTGACCAGTGGCATTTTGCCAACTGGGAATTTTACAGGAGCAAACTGGTGCCGCGGTTTTTCCGCAGCCGACGGCAGCAGCCGCAGCCCGACTGTGGCGAACCAGCAGGTGCCTCTGCCTGTCCGGAGAAAGGAGGGCGAAGAAGGGAGGTCGTGGCTCGTCTAGGACCCCCCGCTTTTGCTGGGTATCTCTCAGCTACCCCCGGGCCTCTTCAGCGCTCCCTTCTCCCGGGGCCGTCGGGGGGGGTTGTATCAGGCAATCGCTCCTCAGCTCCCGTTTTGTCGGACTGGTTCTTCTCCTGTCTGCTAAAAGACAACCTAAGGGGGGGAGAAAGGGCTGCAAAGCTCGGATGTTGTCCGGCGCTGCCCTTGGACACTCTTTACAATCTGTGTTTCTGGGGGGATTGGGGAGAGAATCTATTCGTGAGTGTCCGAAAAGGGCCATCGGTTTCCACGTCTGTGAGGACATCTCATTCAGAAAGGGCGGAACAATCTGCCCTTAATGATTTGAAGATGGTGACTTTGGATCAGTTTTTTAAAAGCTCTAATAAACAAATTTTTCTTAATTGGAAAAATGTATCCTGGCACGCCCGTGTCTTTTCCCTGTTCTCCATCCACTACAGGGTAGCGCTGCTATTCACTCCCCGTCCTAAGGACAAAAAGTCTCCGGTGTGACAATAAACCAGAGGCTCCTTAGCAATTTAACACAAAGTAGATAGCCGGGGTGTCAACACGTCTTTGTTCTGTCCAGCATTTATTTTCCTGCTTGTTGAAGTGTAGCTATTAGAAACTGCATGAAGGTGAAACTCGCCTTAAACAACACTTTTACTTTTCTGGATTTTTTTAAACAAACACAATAAAAAAAATATGGGTGGTATGTTGTTAAAATGTATCTGTTGTTATTATTGTTGGTGATGTTATTACGTTTTATTCCGACACAGTAACAGATTATGACAGTGCATTCTTTGGGCTATTTTCAAATAGAATGAAATAAACAATTCCGGTTTTGAAGAAACTAATACCCAGCCCAGTGTCCGTGTTTTTTAAATTTTAGGTTGTCAGAAACTCAAATAAATGCAACGATTCTACCTCCTTCCGAAATATCTGAAAGAGGAGGCGAGGGAGCTTGTGAAAGAAATACTCCTTAAGAAGGAAGAGGGACCAGTATGAAGGACACATGCAAATGCAAAGATTAGGGGTGGGGAAGGCAATACAAAACCCAACGCATGGATTAAATAATAATAATCAAAAATCAAAGAAAGAAAGAAAGAAGACGCAGCAAGGAAAACTCAACGAGAGAATTGAAGGCTGAAGTACAAAGGAAGGGAAATCGCCTTTGCTCCAATTTACAGACCGGTGATTGTCTGAAGGAGTTGCGCTCCCTGTCACCTAATCTCTTCCCTTGGCGGCTTGTTAGCGTTTGGCACGGGGTCTCTGCTCACAGAGCATTATACATTCGATATTCAAAAACCCTCCTTACATATACATCACTTGCTAATTTCGTCAGTGTGTGCACATTTCAGCGGCTGGTAATAGGACATTGTTATTTAAAGGACAAATAGCTTTGACCCGTAAAGAGGCAGGAGCTCGTATTTTTCCCTGTCAATTCCAGTCTGCCTCTTAAAAACAAAAGTTGGAATGAAAGAGGAGGAGAAATTATGGAATTCTGCTCAAAACGAAGGAGAAGACAAGAGAGAGTAGGAATGCAATTAAACCACGAAAGAAATACACAGAATGACAGTCTTTCTTTATGGTAAAGCATTGATTTTCTCTATAGAGACAACTGGACAATACTGTTGAGCTGCAATCCAGAAACCTTTTGGTTTTGCTGTTTGCTCGTTGTTTTTATTTTCTGAACACTCTGGTAGGTTACGTCTTGGCTTTCTTCATGCGCACAAGCCATTTCGTTATCAAGATAATGTTTCTTTCAAGTATTTCAGATTTTCCTTCTCCATCTCGGAGGTTTCTCTATAAGGTTTGTAGCTGTGACCCGCAGAAGCCTCAGTCCTTGGTAAAGAGGTCTATCCATGGAAAAGAAAGTCCCAGCTCATTTCTATAGGTTACCGGAGTGTATTTAATTTGGGTTGGTTTTTCTTCCTCTTCCGTGCCTAAAATCCTTCTCAGAGATAAAACACGAGTCATCTATTTTCTTCTTTTTTTTCCCCCTTGGAATGAAAATCCTTTAAAGACTGTGCTATTTTTTAGTATTTTTTTTTCCTGTAGGTGTCCACTTGTGGGGAGAAAACACGATTAAATAAACATCGGCTGTAGGTACATTAACTCGAAGAGAAGCCCGGAAAAAGGACGCGTTTTAAATAACCCTGAGACGAACGTTTATCTCGTTAAAGGTACTTCTTCTCGCTGGTCCATGGAAACTGAGGTGGCTTTGCTAAGCACAGAGGGCGTGAAAGTGAGGAAAGAGTCAGTCCTGGTTGTGGCAGAACAGGTAAAGTCTGATCCGGAGGGTCTCTGCGCCAGCCCGTTGGACTGGCCGCTGTGGCAAGCCAGGCAGGAGCAGGGGTTGCCCCCACCGCTGCTGAGTCCATGAGTCGGGACAGGGTAGAGAGAGGGATGCCTGAAGGCGCACAGCAGTTCTGGTCTCGGGTAGGGGTGGGAGAGGACCCTGAAGGTGTCCAGCGGCCTTAGGGGGGTACTGAAGGGAGTGGCCGCAGAGGCCGAGGAGGCTCCGATGCCCATGTGGGAGTAGTAGGGCAGGGGCAGGTGGGAGGGGAAGGGGTAGGGCAGGTTGCCGGTGGCCGCTGCGTGGCTCATCATGTAGGTAT